TTGTTTTTCCATAAGTGGGGTAAAACTATGGAATAATTTAAGTGTAGACATAAAAAATTGTAATAGAATTGACGAGTTTAAACATAAATATAAAGGTATGTGTCAATCAAGATATATGCAAGAACAGGTTTAATGATTAACCAGATGGAACATTGTGGGTGTGGTGTATGAATGTTAACACTTTGTAATAATTCTTTAGTATATTACTTGTGTGGTGTAGAAGATAATTATTTAAGAATGTAATTATGTAAGAATGTTAACACTGTTATAATTTTTTTTAGTATATTACTTGTGTGGTGTAGAAGAGAATTATTTATGTAGAGATACTGCTTGCAAACCAATGATGGTAAGATGATGTCATGGGGTAGGACTGGATAAGTCTGACTTCTTCCTACTCCATTCAAGCATGTACTAGGTATAAGCACATTGATATTGGATTAGCATTTGTTGGATATGTGTAAAATGATGTGTGTTGTCATATCAACTGTCTTTACATGTTTGAAAGAATAAATCAAATCAAAGGATAGAGACAAGTATAAAACTCCTGAGTTTTCCTTTCCTGAGTCTTCACTCAGGCACTGTGGCACTAATTAATGCAGATCATCATTAAAAGGACATGCATGATTGCAGATGACTTTGATCTGTTCGTGCCTAGGCACAAACATAAGAGGCAGTACAGCAAACTTTTGTGTGCACGTGCATTCCTCGTGCCAAACTCTGGGCCTTTGTATTTTTCACGACAGAGTTGGAAGGTTGTGCATGACCGGAATACAATGCTTGGCTCTGGTCCATTTACACACACACCACTATGTGACCAGAGGTGATACAGGTAAGTCACAAGGAGGAGGAAAGCAAGTCAAAGGGACATCATCCAAATTATTAAGTGAGAAACACTGAAATCTATGATGCAGGTTGTGGGCTCCAGGATTACAGTTAGGTAGCACTGGTGAAGCAGATAAGCCTGACTAAAGGCAGCAGGAAGCAGCAATCAGTTTTTGCATATTGAGGGTTTGTCTGTAAATTTAATTGGAATACACAGTAGACTTAGATGACAGTACGTATTATGTAACATGTTTGGGCCAACATTTCCCAGGATAAACAGGTATTCATAGTCTAGTCTTTTTCCTGAAGACGGATTCTTAAATCAGTTTCTACTGTATGTTTTCAGTTAATCGGGACAAACGGGTAGGAATACACACTAACGCTACCCACTCTGTATGTCAGCTGTGTGCTTCTCTATTGTTGTTAGCTAGTAAAATATAAAAGGTGTACTACAGTGCAACTAGCAATAGAAGTAGTAGCTGCATTATGAGATATTATGATTTCAGTAAATACCCGGAACAACTCGTGTTCTTCCCTGACTCAGAGTTTTGTCATGCTGCATTTACTTACTTTCTACACATAGTGCTCAGTTTACCTTTGTATGAGAAACAGCAGCCTCAATTCACATCTTATTAACAACTAACTCAGAACCATACCAAGAAGTAAAAACTTCAGGGACAAGCCTGATTATTTTTGTACTCGAAGACATAGCTTCAAAATTACTGATGACAACTCTCCTGCTTTATTGAATAAATGTGACTCCTGCTGTGTAATTATGCTCAGAGATTATTTTCTGCTTTCCCGCAGACTGTTGGAGGTCTATTTGTGACACGCTGTAAGAATATATTGAAGATGCACTACAGACTTGTCGTGCCTGTAACAGTAGCCCAAATTCCTGAAGGGGAGCTGTTGATGTCATGCATTTGCTTACAAAGCAGAGAACTGACCTGGGGTCACAGAGGAAGTCCATGCTCTCTCCATCAGCTCTCCACACCAGCCACTCTCTGAAGGAGGGGTGGCAAAACATGCGTGTCTTGTCCCGGCGCTTGATGAGGAAGCATGAGAGCAACTCCATGCATTGTTGGAAGTCCTCCCATTGCAGCTCCCCTTGGACGAAGCCAGCGTTGATGGCCTGGAACAGCTGTTCATCAGTCATGGGGTGCAGAGAGGCAAGCGCCACATTGAGGATGGGCAGGGAGCGCTCAAAGGCTGAATTGGTCATGAATTTCATGTTGCACTGTAACTGATAGAGTTCAGTCAGCGAGACAGGCACGACTTTGTAGCTGGCACTTTTGATGACCAGGTGGCCTCTCTCAAACAGATCCAGGGTGAGTTTGAGATACAGGTAGGAACCCTGGCTGCGTGCGATCAGGTGGCTACTGAGCTTGCCAACTGTGATAGGGTCAGCCTTGCCATTCAGGCTAATATTGTTCATGATATCTTTGCTGCCATTGATACGGTACTGAATATATGCACTGAGGTCATTGCTTATCTCTTTGTTGTCAGTAAAGTCATCCAGGGAAATTTTGGTGAAGGGCAGAAGGCTGGTGATCTCCTATGGAAGGAACAGTACATCACATTACGTTTGAGAAGCCATGCTGCTTGATTTCCTTCTCTTGCAAATTAATGAGAAAATCTACCACATCTCAATACACAACACAACTAATCTCTTCAATATACATTGTATTCCAAATACCTGCCATTACAACATTGTGCATGTGTGTGTTTACTATCCAAGTAGTGTCTTTGAGCAGTAAAGCTAACAAGAAGAGTTATCGGGTCAAAGCAGACATTAGTTACTGCTGGTAGTGTAACTCTGAAGTAACAGGACAGTGGATGGGTGGGATGGTCGCTAGCAGGCAAGCAGAGGTCTGAGCCAGAGTTCACATTTCAATTTATGTCCTATGGGTTGGAGAACTGCACTGTTATCCTCCAATCCTCTGCCTGTCTGAGGACTGACAAACAATGCCTCAGTGAAATAACACTTCTCAATTCCTCATCATGACAAGGTAATGCACACAGGAGAGTCACTGAAACGTACTGATGATAACCCATGAGAGCTTACAGAAATGTCAGATATTAGTCTAGAAAGCAAAGGTCGACCCCTCCTTTGAGGTAAAGGCTCTTCTGCCTGTTCAAAGCAAACAATACTATGACACTTTTATGATACTTCTGTGGTTGCAAACTGTTTTATCATATTAATAATTCATCCTTTTTTTTTTAAATATCTGCCCATGACACAATACTGCTTCAGTGTGTCACTCAGAGCCCATCATCTACCCCGCCTTCACAGAAATGTTATAAACAAACTGTCTCGTGTGCAGCCAAAAAACCCTTTCATATCATAAAATGGTACTGACTGGGTTCATAGATGTGAAATTATACTGTAAGAGCTGAAAAAAACTATCAGGCTTAGAATAATTTGATAGCACATCCCAGAGAATTGAATTTTAATTTTGGCTCACGGTTGCAAGATAAACACTAACGGGCTAAATTGGTTTCTAGTGCACTGCATACTGATGACCTGTAGCCTCTTTGCCTGAGCATTAATAACTTGTTTCCTGGATGTCACAGATGACTTTATTATCCCAGGCTTAGTGCTCTCATCAGCCATCCCAAAGCTTCAGCCTTTGTCACTGTGTGTTAAACACAGATCCAGCACAACTTTAACTGGCTGACCTCATGTTACCAAGCTACAATAGTCTGCTCGAAGCAACTGACCGCCCCTTCCCTGTCATGCAGGTCTGATTACCGGGACCTTTTCAAATGTTCCTGGATACGCTTGACAAAAATGACAACTCAACTTTCACACTTGTCAAAATCTACAGGGTCTGATGTCAGCCAGTGAGAGTATCAAGAAGTGGCAGGGTCTCTTGCATTTGTCATTTGGTACTGTGCAATAATCATGTTGGGAGAATTCTTAAAAGTAAGCAAACCCACTGCAATGACCTAATATATAACTGGTGTACAAATTACAGAGGGGCCCAGGGGCTCTCAGACCTCCTGACAGCTCGGATCCCTGGATAAAGTGAAAATTTAATTTTAGGAGTTCTCAAATGTGCCAAATGACTTTCTATTAATCTATACAATATTATTTACTACCATGTAACTTTATAAACAGTTAATTGTTTTTAAAATAATAAAATATTAAAATATAGGCCTATTGTATTCACTGCCTTTATGGTATTCTACCAAAAGGGATCCAGGAACCAAACGCGTTCCATGGGAGAGTGCAGGCCATTAAAGATGCGTGCATCGCCCACCTTATCTCCACCTAGAGCTGCTTTTATTGGGATCAAACCACCATAAAATACAAAAATAGACACCATGTATATCCCTGTGGTAGTAGCACAGGTATGTCTTTGTGAAACTTTTGATTTGATTTGAGGAAATTGTAATTGAATGAGTGACAGCAGCACACAAGGTCGGACTGACTTTACCCACTGTCCATAATGCCCTTTACCACGGCCCCTGATCTGCTTTCACGTGTTATTTTGTTTGCCGATGTATAAGTGGATCTGATGCATTTGGTGACAGCACTCACCACACAGGTCTTAACCCCCCACCCCCTCAGTTAAAAAGTAGGCTCCCAGAAATGTACACATTGTACATAACCCTCTCATAAGTAGATCAAGTTGAAATATTTGTCTCCATGATATCATTCTGTCATATCATAAGAAAATTTATTTCAAAACAAGCTCAGCTCAGTATTTTTAATGAGCTGCTCCTTACCAGTAAGTTGACCCGGACAGTGACCACCAGTTTAAGCCAGGAGGGGAACTTGGCAATGATCTTAGTGATGAAGGAGGCAATGGTGTCTCCATAGTCAGGCTTATGAAACTCTGCTTCATTCAGCCCATCTACCAAGATGATGTGGTCTTCCTCTGGAATCTTACGCTCTGGAAACAGAAAAATAACCAACACAAATAAGACAACATGCAGTGAGGTACAGCTAATGGCAGTATTAGCTCAATTAAACTGCCCCTTTTTGTCACTGCTGTAATTACACTTGGCTGTCTCAGAGGTGTGGTAAGGGTCTCTACTTAGTCATCGACTACACAGCCACTGCTCCCACTTTACTCCACAGTGAAAGGTCAAGTTAGAATTTCTCTTTTAAAAAAGGTTTACACTCTCAGTGGTACCTTGTTAGTTGATAAGAGAAAAACTCCACAGTCCTTATAACCTTAAGTTTGCAATAGTCTTATTTCCCCACCCCATAAACATACACTGGAAACATTGAAGGGACACTTTGCATCGGTAACAACTAAGGAGTAGTGAGATAAAGGGGTGAAAGACGATGCAGGGAAATCTGAGGCAGGCAGGATTCACAATTGACTGGAGTACTGTGGAGTAGCATGTAACAATCACAACAGAGGAATCCTACAATCAAGACAATTGGAAATACTATACAATGGTGTTTTACCTTTACGAAGGATGGCTAGGGGTTCTAGAACCCCCCTACGGAAAGCGGCCATTGGGTCCTGAACACAGGAGCGCAGACTGAGCATGCTCTGGAGCTGGGGCTCTTTCAGCAACAGCTCCCGGTATGCACTGAGCTGGTGTGCTCTGCACAGCAAGGCTGCGATGCTGTGCACAAACTCTGGTACCAGACAAGTGTATGTGTTGTCTGCCTGGCAGTAGTGATATGCCACCACCTGAACACAAAGGGGACGGAGAAGAACAGATCAGCACAGGGGGTTTCTCAGACTTAGTTTGAATGAAAAACATGTTAGAGTAATAAACAGCATAAATTACTTCTGGCTTTAGTAATAAAAAATATGCAAAGCTGGGAACCTAATAACCTCAATGCATTTGCAAAAGTCAGCAACCTTGTTGGCTAAACACTAACTTCAGTGTTAAGTCTGATGGTATTATATTTTATATTCATAGCCCCTATAGAGACACATCTATCTCTTCAGCCAAAGTGAGAACATGGCTACATCCAGCCTAGCCCACACAGCAGGCATACTGAAGTGACTGGGCTGGCCACCTCAGATAAACTCTACTATAACAAGGAGCCTGTGGATCTCAGGTGGAGGTCTAAAAGTAGGATCCTCTGTGTCTGAGTCGGCTGCCGGAGTGTTCTAACTCTGATTTAGAAGAAAAAAAGGAGGGAGAGGGATGGGGGAGGAGGGAAAAGGAGGGAGAGGGATGGGGAAAGAGGAACAAGAGATGCCCTTAAGATGTATGACTGCGTTCTAATTACAGTCCAGCCTGGAGGAGCTGACACACACCCAGAGGCAGCAGGAGGAAGAGGTGACCTGTTCCTCTGATGGCTCTACCTGCCTATTGCTCCATCAACCATGATAACCAATTTCTGGAAAAGTCACTGATTAAAAACTGAAGCTAAATCACTTAGCAGACATGGGAAAAGTCCATTTTTATTAAAATGTTTCAGATCAAACTTTCCTCTAAGCATTGACCCAGTAGCATTTGAAGACGTATTCGTGTTTCCTTAGTTTGTAACCAATGTTTCTAGACTCATACAACAGCTGGATGAGATTTGTAACTCAGGTCATTCCTACTGAACCATAGCAGTCTACTGGATGTTCATAACACTGCAGGGAGAAATTCTGTTGTGGCAGCTGTGGGGAAACAACTTGACAGTGCACTTGTGGCTAAGCGCGTAAAACGCTCCAAAGAATTCACCAAATAGATAAAAGCTCACTAGTTCCAAACAGAACTCCACCAAATAGAGAACTACATTAAGTGAATACAGTTTATTAGAAGATCTATCATCTGATACATTAACCCTGCTATGGATATATACATATACATGCTCTTCAAGTATAGCCAGTAATCCCGTTTGTCTGCCATTTGTTGGAGCGTTTCTGGAGGCTCCTCTGTGTGCACTTTGTACACCAAGCACTTCCTACGGGTGAGTGAACATGCACACAGTATAGACGAGAGCAGGATTTTGGTGCGAGATGCTGGTTTTGGTGTAGACACTGTGTTATATTCAGTGTTAATGTACACCATATACTGTACATCTGGGGATTACCATGATAGGTTTTGGTTCGATGTGTGTGAAACCTAGCCTGACTTGAATTAGACCGACTTGCTATTTTACTGAAATAAAGATGTTGAAAGTGATTTGGAGGTCTGAAAGAATATTACATATAAACTTGCCACACCAATGCAACGTCTCATGACGGTGGTCAAAGTGAAGACTTGTGATTTAAAAACAAGATCTTTGTTAGTTGCATTCTGTATTTCAACCTTATCTACCACCACAACACACAACTACAGTATTTTTCTCCAGATGTGCACTCTTTATAAAAGTGGCAAAATAGTGTGCGTCGCTGCGAAGGTAATGGGGCAATCAGTCAGAACCCAGTGAGCTATTTAGCCAAACTGAAATGCACCATCAAAGGTAAAAAATGATCACAAGGATCTAGACGTAAAGGACACAACAGCTGAGCACCGTTATTAAACTCCATGGAATTAAATTTGCTCTACATATCATTAGAAGGACCAGGCATAAAAGTGAGAAAATAGCAGCTAAATTAAATTTGGTGCAAAGAAATCTGTACTATCTCTATGTTTTGAAGTCATGATGGCACACCAATGTAGACTCCTAATTGTGCTCTGCACAAGGGACAGAGCAATGGTGCGGTGATTTGTTTTAAAAGAATATGAAATTATTCAATTCAACGACTGGGGAGAGGACAGAGACTGTGGAACACTTTTTAATTGGGCCGTTTTAGGTGTCGCACAAATCGGGGGAAACATATGGAAGCTGTGAAATAAAATTTTAAGTTGCCTGCTATTTGTATAAATACAGTAACTCTGGATAGGCACCTAACAATGAGACTGCAGTGTCAGTTTTTATAGTGTGCAGGTCATGCAGATCACTACCTCATCAAAGAACAATAAGGATTTCAACAAATAATGCAACTCTCTGCACCGCACCTACAGCACGTTCTCTACTGGCACAATGAATTTACTCCTGAAAACCGATGCCTAAAATCCGCCTCTGATACAAGAAAAAAAAAAAAAAGGCATAAAACTTGTGATAAAACATAAAATGTACAGTAATTGTCTCAAAGTCCCTGCTGGGAGACCACTTTTAAATTACTGATTAAAAAGAACTGACAGAATTGGACAGAAGATGCTCAGTGCTGCATCAGTATTCACACATCACAGGAACAGAGCACAGTGCCTGTGAGAGCGCCTGTTGGATACACTTTACACAATAATTGGCTTGAGGGATACTGCTTGGGTTTCATAGACATTTAGATGAGTCTTTGCAGCGCAGAAGTGCCAGAGACGCAGGCAAGCTGCATGAGACAACTACTGCTGTCTCGGGCACAGTTATGGAAAAAGGCATCAGAGGTAAACCCTGAAGGTGTTACAGGCACAGCGGGGAGTAATCAGTAACATTTAAACAAGAACAAAGCAGGTTCAGTAACAGGGTTCGGTGAAAGAAAGATGCGTCACCCATTAAAAGAGCTAAGAACTCACCATCACAAAGCTATTCAAATCATGAATGCCATTGTGAATACAAACAATTCTCTAAATCACAGTGGTCCCACATCGTCCTTATTAAAACTATCAGCAAGCACAGCAGTGCCAAAGCTATTAAATGTCCTTGTTTCATTCATTTACTAAGATTTTATAATATGTAGGCTACTGAATGTACATTAAAAGAATTGCATGGTAAGCAGTCAATCCATGTTATGCTGTTTAATACACAGCACATGAGAACAGGTGTAGTCAGTGGTCATTAAGGGCGAAGGAGTGAAGAACAAAAGAGAAGCTTTTGCTACTTAAAAGACTGGAGGATGAGAAAGTGATAAAAGCAAACTACTATGGCAGTGAAATCTAATCTTGAGCTAATAATTATAAAACAAAGAGACAGCTACAAGCAGCAACTCCACAAACTGAGCTGAAGTTATGTAAAGGACATTTCAGGCAGGTACAATGAGAACTCGCCCACTGAACAATTTTGATTGTAATGGGAGAAAGCGCTGCAGAAATATGGTCCAACTCCTGTTTGTGTGTTTGTTGCCAACTCTGTCACAGACATTTGGTGACTGCTTGATGAGTGCTACTGAAAAAAAAAATGCACAAACCTGAAAACTGTCACTGTATGTATAAGAAAGTAAGAAGCCTTTTCAACTTAAAAGCCTGCCCTAATATGCCGACTGTCATACAGAGTAACAGGCAGGAAAATGGAGACTCATAATAATCAGGAGGTCTTCATTTGTTACTTGGTTCCCTAACAGCCGTTTACTAATAAATATCAACACCTTTTGTAGATTATGTTTAAAATGATAGGATGTGGGGTGCCTTGGCAGCCCAAGGGTTAAAGTGCCTATTGTGAAGTGCAATGTCTCTGATTTAGATTCAGCTGAGGACCTGTTGCAAGCCGTTCTCACTCTCTTCTCATTACCAGTCATGTCTCTACTGTTAAAAGAATAAATAAGTAATTGGATGCTTCTGCAGTACATGCAAATAATTCAAACCATCAGAATTCAAGTACTGTTTTTGATGTCTGGTCTATCTGATGTAGTGTAACTGTAAATACTGCCAGGTTAAAAATACTGAAAGCTAAATTCCTGATGAATTTATTCTGTCTGCACTGTTAGTGTGTTCCCATGGCAGCGCAGAGGAAGACCTTGTGGTAGTTTTCAACATACACAATGCAAATACATTCCATCTGTGAGCTAAAAGGGCACACACAAAACCTGAGCTGAAGTTTTCTTGTTTTCACAATCACACTGCAGTGCTGAGATACTGTGGACATCAACACTAAACTTGTTTTTCACAGCCAGGCCTTTAACTAAGTTCACTGCCTCTGCAACTCAAACAAGCCTGTGATATTAAAGGTGTCCTAAGGTCCAGTAGTGCCACTGTCTTTCTTAATCTCAACAGACTGCTGAAGACCATGCCATATTTCATATCAAACAAATGAACATAAACAATCATAAATCACATACAAAACACATATCGTATGAACATAAATCACCTCAGCAGAGAGTCAGTGTCTGGTTTCTGCAGGGCATCTCATACATACTAATAGCAATTCTGCACACCACCACCATCTTTATAATAAGGGAGTCAATCACTGGCAAGCACACTGAAAGACGGACAGATATACTGTATACAGTTCAAGAAATAAGACCAACTACATCAATAATAGTGCACCTTAAGCAACATACTGATGTATTTATTTAAATTATAACTGAAGATTATAGGATGCTGTCACATGAGTTATTATCAGATATAAATTTAACAAAGCTTATATAATAATAAAGGTGTACAGGGTTTGTTTTTTTTTTGCAGGAGATACAACATTTCCTAAAGCTGTACCTTTGCAGCCAGACGTTTGACAGCCTCCTCTTTGCACCGCTGCATCTCAGGGGTCCCTGGGCAACTGTTGGTCCTCAGTGTGTTGGTAGCACTGGAGGGTGGAGTGGGCTGTGGGGGCTGGGTAAGAGGAAGTTCTGTGTATGGTCCCCCACCACCTACAAGATATAGATACACACTTTGTAACACATTCTTGTGACCATTAAGCAGACTAATTTGTTTACAAATGAGTATGGCGTTTTACTTTTATAAGTATTAATTGTCATGGTTTATGTTGCAAAGACAGATAAGGCCATATTTTGTGAAACAGCAGTTACTCCACAATCTGCAAGCAAATAGTGAAATATGAAAACATCAATTTGGACAAAAAACACACCCAAAGGCAAATACTAAAACTGATTACATTTAGGGGAGGCACTGGGACTGTTGGAGGCAATCTGACGCATGCGGCCTCCGTGGCAGCTCAGCGCTACTAGCCGGGAGATAATGGCCGTCTTCCCATAGCCCACGCTGCCCACCACCACGGCACCATGGTTCTCTGTGGATTCGTTGGCCTTCAGGACATCTTCTAACTGTTGAAAGATCCAATCTCGGCCCACAAACACAGAGTCTGTGGTGATGCTGGGCACCTCAAACAACAAGGGCTTGAGCATGATGTCCACAGGTTTGTAGGGAGGAAAACGGGCTGAGGGGAAATTAAACAAATTAGTATTGTAACTGTGTCATCATTTTTCCTCACAAACACGCCTTTTCAGACAAAGGCAAGAAATAATCCCATTTCTCTCAGTAATGCTACAGTCTTTTCATGCTGAAACACCAACCATTTAACTATAAGCTCTTCTGCAGGCTCTGAATGATGAGCCAATAGCACAACCACGCAACAACAGCAGTGGGCCCAGGTGGGTTTTTAATGCATTCAACTTCAAACCGATGTGTTCTAGTTCATCCTTAGTTCATCTCAGAATAAATTAATCTTTGATCCTTCACAGACAAACCTGCAAACATTTTTACGTAACTGGATATCTGTTTTTTTAAGGAATACTTTTTTCCATCCACTGTGCCACATACATCAAAAACCTTTTTTTTCCACTGTGTGCTTTAAGCTTGAATGGAGTCCAGTCACAATGTAAGTGGACTGGAGAGAGGATTTGCTATCCAGTCCACTTGAGCACTAATTAAATCTAAGGACACTTGTTTAATCAGGGGCTCTTTGATGCTCTCTAATACTAGCATCGCTGGCACTGCTGCTGATGCTGCTTTTACTTTTTTTCCTCCCTTTAGATGTTGCTGCTTTTACTAGTCAAAATTATTGCTATTATTTGTTACTGCAAAAATAATATTTCTGCCTACTTTCATGCTGATCGTCTTTTTGGAAAAAACCAAAACAAAACATACGGTACCTTTGTTCTGAGCATTTGTCTCAGCTTAACAGTGGCTTAACTTTTGGTTTACAGAGATTAACAAATACTTCTTCAAAAGAAATTGATTGGTTGGCTTTTTTTTTTTCCATCAAATATCAAAAATATTTTTTTTTTTTCCCTTGAAAGTACAAATATAATACAACAAACAAGTCACCTTTAGAGTCCTGAGGTGGTCTTCCTCCTGTATTATGCCAGGGTAGGCGAATGGAGGTCCGCAGGGGGGTGTTACGCTGTTCATCAAGAAAGTTCAGGTCTTCCAGCTTTGTCGAACTGGTCGCTGTAAGCAGATAGACAGAAAAAAAAAAGGAGAGAAAGTGAAGCCTTTGTGCATCTTGTATGTATCTGACAAAACAACTACATATAAATAGTAATATACCTGTAGAAACACTTAACATTAAAATTTTGTGGCATATTTGGCATCTCTGGGAGAAGACAGGTAAAGAAGAGGCACTTCAGCGCACTGTAGCAGAAAATACAGAGGTGTCTCCAAGTCAAGACAGAAATAAAGAGCTGACAGCTACACACAGTGCTGCAACTCAGAGGCCTGTCTCCACAAACACTCCTGCTAAAGCTGTACAGAAAGGCCACATTACCTGTACCTTTCTTAAAAATACACAGCGAATCACCAACTGCAGAAAGCATTATCGCTTAGAAGTTACTCATTACTGTCAGCCTACTTGTAATTATAGGACACATCACTGTAATGTCACCGCTACAGCATAATGCAGAGCAGACCACAATATTTGTAAGTAAAGGCACAATCATTCAAGGACAAGACCAACTAATGAACTGCATAAGAAAATACTATGCAAATTATTGTTCATGCTACATTTGTTTTGAGATAATCATTTTTCTATTCCTCTGTTAATCGATCATCATCTTAAAATATAATGGACCCAGAAATAAACTTGGATGCTTGTAGTTTTTATTCACTTGATCAATTTGAAGGAAGAGATTCCTCAAAGTACGAGATGTTTTAACAGTAGCTGCAAATGAATAATGTCTCTACTTGGCAAGCTGCTGATTACAAAGCAATTCAACTACAGTGCCAGTTTGAAGTATGGTCAGGGGGATGTGCATTAGTGCAGCTAGGTCTGTCTTTGAATTGCTGTTCATTGTTCAACAATACGATCACCATGGTGATCCATACTCTCTTGGCCCTGCTGAAGAGTAGAATCAAAGCAGCTGCTTTCTACTTTATCAACCTCAGCTGGGAGAGACCGTCACAAACACTCAGCTCTTCTCTTCCCTGCCTCACTTGGATGCCAACTTATTCTCCGGAATGTCCCACTAATTAAAACCCGCCAGCTGACAACAGAGAAACTGAGGGAGCTGCCATTAATACATTGTTGACTAGAACAAAAGAGTAAAGTTAATATGAAGTCTAAGTTACAACAAAGAAAAAAAACTGCTAAAGTAAGCACACACACTGCAAAGTTTGTCAGTGCAGAGAAATAAACCAATAACAACTGAGGAAATCTGATCCAGAAGCTACACCGAGCAGCTACTTGTATCCATCAGCAGACCCAGGAAGGGCAGCTGACATTGAAAGCAGTTGAAAACCATCCCCTTGTCCTCAGCATGGAAAATATTAGGCAGACAGACAGGCCAGTGAGGGTGGAGAGTGCTCCCAGCGATGAGCTCACAGAGGGCACAAAAGTGATTCCTCTGCCCCAATGTTCCCATACAGGCACACTGGCAGCTTTCAGCTGCTGAGTAGAGGGCTTGGCTACCCCTTCTCTGGTGCTCAGCCAATCGCAGCATCCACAGTATTAAGCACCT